ACAAGTGTGTCACGAGGAAGCGGGTTCGAATCCCGCAGAAGGCCTACGGCATCGACCAAACAACTTTTTTAACCCACGCTTTTTCATAGTCTCACGCTCCCAAACTAGCGACTGGATTCATCGATGAAACTTGAATCTCCTCCAATAGTATTTCTTATGTATTTATTAATATGTGGTATGAACTTTTTCTGGCTTCCTTCTTCTCCGGCAGAGAACAGCAGATATTTTTTCAGGGTATTCAAAGAAGTCTTTGTAGTATTATTCCCCAGACCGCCTAGCCTCACCTCAGTTCAGAAAGGGGGAGCAGGTTCAACTCCTGCTAAAGGCCTCAAGAATTTGTAATTCATTTTTTTCCCCCTCGTACCCTTCCCGCTACCTGCTGTGGTCCCGCACTGCCTACCTCCATGCTCTCACCTCGAAGTGAACTCCCTTTCTCATTTTTCGCGCCGGAACCACGTGGGCGCGTTGCTGACCCGGACGCCGAACATTACCGATGATGATCGATCACATATCACAAAGCCGTTTTGCCGTGCACTGCATATTCCTATCCCGACCCGCCGGCAATGATCGGAGAGCTCTTACCACTTGCCGTTCACGCAGCTCGGTCTTCCGCCTTCCCTCGATAAGCTGGACCTACCAACTAAGCAAAACCACAACGCTAGCCGCCCAAATGGCGCTCAGCCGTCAACGATTTGTCACCCGGACCGTCCGAGTCCGTTGGCTCCGCACCGCTTCTTCCTTGGCCCGCCCACGGTCCCCACTGTGGAGACGAGGCACTGCCAAATTGGGCCCGATCTTCCGTGGCCGACTTATAAAGCTGGGGCGGCATGAGACCGAGTCCCGCCCGCCCCAGGACCACCGCCTGCTCCTGCTGACTGTCCGGACTGCTTTCGTATAAATACGACTGCAACTCGCGTCTGCACCTTCCTTGCATTACTATGGCCAACTGCAGCATCTGCCTTGAAGGGTTCACATCTCCGGTTTCGTTGCCTTGTGGTGCGTATTACTTATGTATTCATTTCCACGTCGGTGTTCGAGGCGCTGACTGAGATATGTTACTATAGGGCATGTGTTCTGTCTGAAATGCATTCGCCGGACGGTGGACTCGGTCAAGTCACGTCCCATGACACATTTCTGTCCAACCTGTCGAGCAGGATACAGTCTTCGTGCGTTCCATTCCTCCCACAGTAAATTCTTTGCACACGCTAATGTCGTTTTTATTCTAGTGTCTGTGGACCCGAAGCTCGTCCCAGTGTACCTCCGCCCGCATATCCTCCCGCCAATACGCAGAGTCTTCATCGATGACGCGTCCCCTTCTCCTTCCACCGCGTCCAGCTCCAGCTCCAACGCCAGCAACAACTCCACACTGGCATCAGCATCAGCACCAGCGCCACCTGTACCCGCTCCCACACATCCCGAGCCCAACCCATCCCCCGAGCTCGCGCGCGCCCTCGCCGAGCTGAACGCGCTGCGGCAGCACTGCGCCACCTGGCGCCAACGTGCCGAGTCGCACGCGATGGGCAACAATGCGCTCCTCGGCTTGGCGCGCGCCGCAAAGGACTGCGCGTTGCGCATGCGCGCTGAGCGGGATGCGGAGCGATCGCGGTGTGTGTTGCTGAAGCGTAAACTCGCGGAACTTGGGTGCGTTTTTTGCATTATGTTCTTACATATAAACTCACTTAATACTCAGTCCGGAGTCCGAGCTCGAGGAGGAGTGCGCCCCGACTTCGAAGTCTCGAGCAGGCGGCGTGGTGCCCCCACCACCCACCGGCCTCCCCGTCTACCTCATGCAAATGCAATGCAAGCCCGTCGAGCGCTTCTACGACAACCCCGCCGACGTCGAGGCAAGCCATTTTGGGCCTCCGATGAAGAGGCGGAGGACTGCTGCTTTTGACGCCGCTTCCTTGAAGGCTGGTAGCGACGCCGGCGTCGACCCCAGTTCAATTCTGCCTCTCAATCTCAAGGCTAGCGCCGCTTCGCTCAAGGCTGGTAGCGACACCAACGCCGCTTCGCTGAAGGCCGCTGGCACTGGCGCAGCAGCCCCAGACCCCGCATGCGACTCCATCTTGGTCAAGCGTATGGCGAGGTCTGGACTCGAGGCGCTGCCGCTGGTTCCTGCAGGTACTGCTCAATAACCCGCGTCCGCGTCGCTTCTGCTTCGTATCGGTCTGTACTTGGTTAGTATTCTATGGGGGACTTCGGGGGACTTTGTATGGCTGTTTCTCTGGGACTCGTTGTATTCCTGGGTTTTAATTTACGGAATGGCATCGGATTGGGGTTGGGATCTTTTGGCGGACGCTGCGTGAATTCATGATGTTCCTGGGGGAAATATGTATGTACCTATCTCGACATGTGTCATTCCGCCGGGCTCGTGAGTGCACGCTCAACGGCGAGCCATGCACTTCTCATCAAACGTTTGGGTTGCAGTACGATTCACGCTTCGCAAGCCTCAGATCAACGCACCTTCCCACAGTGTGAATTTTATTCCTCATTCTACAAATCTGAGCGAAAACAAATGTAACTGTCGTCGAGAGTCGCAAATTTCTGCGGCGAAGACAAAAAGAAATTGCGACTATTGCATGCCCCGCGCAGGATTCGAACCTGGGTTGAGTTGAAGTTATCTCGACACTTGACGAAGGGGTGGCGATATCTGTCAATCCACGAGGGCTCAACCTTCTATTCCCTGCCCTCATGAAGACTCACTAGTAGTGGCGTGGTATTCTCGCTGTAGCTAGACCGAGACTCAAACTTCACGCGCGGGCGGTTGACTCCCAGCCCAAATTCATGACAATCAAGCAAGTAGAACAACGATCTCTGAAATCTAGACACAGACAGAGGAACCAAAAAAGGCTGGACCGCATGCATGCCCTCTGCAGGACTCGAACCTGCATTCCCTCCTTACACTCCACGCAAACTGGCTAAACAGAGGGATACCTTTATCCACGAGCTCGAGGGCCTTTCTGTGCATCCCAAATAATACACTTCCTCTTGGGCTCAACTACTAATCGGCGGGGATACAAAATCGTCGAGTCTTGATCTCTATCCAAACCCATCCGGTACAACCAAACCATTGAAAGCTGGATTCTAAATTGGAGAGTAAGAAGAATAAGCCAACCAAGTCGAAGAAAAAAAAAGCGACCTCGCACAGACCACGCTCTATCAGGAATCGAACCTGCGTTGCGTCAATCCAAGAGGGCTTAACGCTCTTTCCTCACGCTACTATGCCTTCACCAAGACGCGTTAAGTACTATTCATAACGGCGAAGACCGGGTCGCGAGTTGGTTGAACACAGGCAGGTGATACCTTTATTTATCCCCGAAGGCATAATGGCTTCATGCCCAATAATCTACCTCAATGTGCCGATTGAAATCATACGCCACCTGCGAGTCACAAGTTACAACGAGTCGTGCGGTCTGTGACTTGTGTCGTGACTCGCGCGCAACGTTCAACGGGTCAAAGCACTGGCCCGTGGAAAAATAACTGCCGGATTGGGGACTGAGCTTGGAAATGTAGACACAGACTCCGACACGAAAAACAATCGAAACAGGGCAGGACTCGAACCTGCATCCCGCCCTTCCATTTCACAAACTGACTTGACGGAAGCAAGGGGACGTCGGGATTAAAATTTCGGATGGGGGGAGGGGGGGGGGGGGGGGTCTGGCCAAGGCCGAAAAAAACTTTGTAGTATAAGTTTTGGGAGGGCTATGGGAGGCTGTAAAAATGTTAGTAGAGGCATATCAGGGTCTCAATGAGTAAGAAACCTCAAATTTTGCTTCCTACTCACCTTAGAAGGTGTTGAAATGATAATTTCAATTGAAAGTGCTTGGTCGGCGGTGTTAGAGCAGGTTGGAAAAAATTCTGCAGGTCTAATTGAGGTCTAATCAAAGCCTTTGAAGCACTTTAGATAGGTTCAGGAAGGATAATACATACCTCACGCATCAAAATCAAGTGGCAGTAGTTGTCCGGGGGATGTCCGGTGGGTGGCGGAAAGTCCGGAGGGAGCGGCCCGGCGCCAGGGGTGGGAGACACCTTCCCGATATGGCAGGGGGGGGGAGTCCAGCCAAGGCTGAAAAAAACTTTTCGACCCCCCTTCCGATTTTCGAATCCCGACGTCCCCTTGGACGGAAGGAGGTGATATCCTTAATCCACAAGGGCGGGCTGGTGCTGTGCATGCCTAATAACACACCCAAAGTGCTGATTAAATTACACGCTGCCGGCGAGTTCAAGGTAACAATGAGTCCGGACTCGTGTGCACTCCAGCGTCTTTTGACGTATGCCGGATATCCCTTTAATTAATTCGGCTGACCTTAGGCTTCAGAATATCAAGATCCCCGTGGAACCCCGCGCGCATTTACTGAAAACCTTCACTGTCCAAGCAGGGTCGGCTTGGCCTTCGAGTCATTTCGCCCTCCGGGTTCATCATGGACTCACTGTAACTTACAATGTAGTCGGTCAAAACACAAAATGCACATTCCTGCACGCTGACAGAGTTCACCGACCTGTAGTTTACATCGGGTCGACCGGGCGGTGCTAGTGCCTCTCCTCGAACGCGACGCTTTCGATGATCAACCCATCAATTCGACTTCCCACGGTTTGACTTTCGCACAAGTACTTACGGACTTACATGTATTTACTGTGGCAGGCTGCGTGATGAGCTAGGAGTGGGAGTGGGAGGATAGGCACTAGCAAGTCAAAGCAAAAAATCTGGCGTCAAATGGGATATGCCCACAGGAGGACTCGAACCTCGATCTTTGAATCTTCGATACAGACAAACAATTGATATTGGGGTAAGAAGTGATCTATGCAGGCTTGGGGGTCAGAATCGTATGAGGGTGAGCAGAGTCGTGTCTTTAGTAAAATCCTTGTTGAAAGTGAGAGTTTTGAACCGCTGGTGTTGCTGAGGCCAGATTGAGTTTGAGTTCAGTGTGTATGTGAGGGAAGCTTGGGACTGAACTCAAAGAACGGGGAAAGAAACACGAAAAATCAACTTCAACCTCCTATGCCCGCAGGAGGATTTAAACCCCCGTTTTCTCAGTACCAATGACATTGATACGTGCCCACCAGTGTGGAGAGATGATCTAGCCCTGATCTATGCGGGCTTGGGAGTGCTGGTTCTGAACCCCACAAGAGTGAGAATGGACTCGACAAAGTGTTCCGAAAGCATGGCAATGTGAGAAGCTCTCAGACTTTGCCAGGCAGACTCCACTGGCATCAAAATATTGAGCCTGGGAAGGAAAGGTAAGGGAGACTAAGAGGGTAGACAAGTGGATGCGAGCGGTGTTTACTTCTCAAACAGAGTTGGGGCCAGCAGCGTACAACACACGACACTGGGGTGTAATGGATGAGCCGGTGACTGAGTGAGTGAACGGGCGGGTGAATTCGTACGCAGACACATTTTCTTTCAACTCTGGGGCAATGGGGTGGAATTATGGGCCATGGGGGACATTGGGCACAATGTAGAGGATACTCTGGCAAGAGCGAAAATAACGCGGTGGCAGTTATGGGCCAGTAACTAACACCGGATCAAGGACACGACGGACAAGGACCCAGGCACACAATTATTGTGTGCCTTAAATGCACATCCCGCACAATAGTCGTTTTGTTCGCCTTTCTATCCTGTTTCCGACCGCAATGAAACCCAAAAAACTGTAGGGAAAATTTAATATGCTATTTGGAAGGTTCTCAATGTGTTTTCCCCCCATAATCACAACGGGAACCTGGGATTTCAACGAAATAAAGATTGTTTTATTTATTTTCTGTCAACTTTTATCATGCTCAAGATGTAGACACTCACAGTGTTCCCAGTCAACACGGTGGTTATTTTGGCCAATTTACCAATACTAGTCGACTCAAGTTGATTTGAAGTCACTCCAAGTGACTCCATTAAAGCCAAACCAAGTTGAGTTGAGTTGAACTTCAAATCAAGTCGACTTGGCAAGTCGCGACTCGACTTTTCAAGTCTTGACAACATTAAAAGGGACCGCACATCAGACACGGTGGGTGGGCTGGTGTGTAATGTCCGCCGCGTGAGTGCTCAGCCACTGTGTGACCCCCGCAGTGCGACTGCGCGGGGGCGAGCATAAATTTAGTTTGAATCCTGTTTGTTATATTGGCACGAGTCTGCCGTAACCGAATCTTGCCGCCGCTTCGTGGTCAAAAAGCCAAATTTCCGGACAGACCTTCACTGCGTTCAGACCCCATGTAGACACAGGGTGATCCTACCCGCGTAGACCATAGGGGTAGACGTAGCCATTGGTCTACGTACGGCTACACATATAGACGCAGGTTGGGCTACATTGGTCTACATTGGTCTACACGGGTAGACCAATGTAGACCAACCTAAACCTATGTAGACTTACCATAATGTCCTCGGAATTCATTCGTTGCGATGCGAGTTGAGCAGGTCGAGGGGAAAAAACAAGCTGGGTCTACCCGCGTAGCCTAACGTAACTAACGTAGCCTAACATACGTCTACGTCAGGCCCACGTCATGTAGCCACGTGGTACGCCAACGTAGGATCACCATGGGCTACGCGGCGTTAGGCTACCCGGGTAGACCCACGTAGCCGAGGTGTAGACTCATGTAGACGCAGGTAGACCAACGTAGGACCACCCTACGTCTACGTGGGGTCTGAACGCAGTGCTTGGCGTGAGCTTCCCGGGGCCTCCTTTTATGGAGTCAAAACATTGGATTTTCAGGCAGAGAGAAATATAATGGATGGTGGGAACATCACGGAAAGTGTCGTGATTTTCCTTTTCTGGCTACGCTCTAACCCCATCTATTTAGGCCTAATCGGACGTAACTGTTTCTGGTTACGCTCTATAAGGAAATTTGATGCCACAAACACCATTACCGAGCCAAAGTTGGGGACATGAGTTGAGGCGCCAGTTGAAGTCAAGTTGGATGTCAAATCGCAACTTGCCTTTTGTGCATCAACTTTCGGATAGTCGGAGTACAAGTTGGGGTATGGTTGGGGCTCACATCCTAATGCCGAAACACCCTATTTTTGTCTTGGAAGCCCAGGGTCAAGGGTGCAAGCTCGTGACGTGATATCCATCGTGTGAAAGGGCATGCTGTCCACGAGGTGATGCTCAAGGCTGGCAGTCTTGTCTTCCACCTCGACGTCGACAGGGATACCTCATCCTCATCCTCTCTGTGGGTGTCTCTTCCTGCTGTATAATCTTTGATTTTGCCTCACAACAGAAAATTAGCAGTATAACAATCCATTTTGACTATGTCTGGTGAAAGCCATAAAATCAAGATTGTCAATGTATATGGTGTGTAAAAAACTTGAGAGTCAAGTTAGGACATTGGTATCATACGCTCTCATTTCCAGGAGGCACAGGAGGCAGAGGTGGACGGGGCGGCATAAGTGGTGGTGCCGGGGGTCCAGGGCAGGGTCCGATGTTGAATGTCAGCGGAGTTCAGAACTTGAACTATAACATGCATGTGTATGTTGGTCCTTCATTTCCCCCCAACAGTTCTTTCTCAAACGACAGCAGTGTGAACCAGGGCCCTGGGTCAATCCATTTCTACATTGCAGATTTCTTTTGAAGCTGACTTGGGTTTAGACTGGAAGAAATTCTGTATAAGTGGTTGGGGTCTCCTCCTACCACACAGGACAGACAGCATGAACTGCGGAGTCTTCATCATGAAGCCACTGGGCACTGGCTCCAAGATGATATTAGATTCATGAAATGGAGGACTACACCTGGTCCTTTGTGGCTCAAAGGGATTTGTAAGACTTTTATTAATATATTCCGATCCCATGTCTAATTGGTTGCAGCCGGCACCGGAAAGAGTGTACTTAGGTGTTTTATATCACTACTATATATATATTCAGCCACTGATGGTACTCACATGGTCAGCTCAACAGTGATTGAGGAAATTATTGGTCCTCGGTCTGCAGTTGCATTTTTCTATTTTGATTTCAGGAACAAGAGGCAGCACATGAACCCCATGTTATGTTCTATCATCTGGCAGCTCTCTAGATGGTCACCTTCCCCCTATAGTGCTCTCAATCACCTGTATACGACACTGGGAAACGGAACTATACAGCCACAGCTCATCCATCTACAAGAAGTCTTGGAGATCTTACTTTCAGAGTTGGGCCAGACGTGGATTATCATTGATGGGCTCGATGAATGCAACAAACCCGAGTGGAAGCACCTCATCAAGTTTATCCACAGCCTATGCCAGCCTACCAAGGATAAACTGCACCTCTTGTTTACCAGTCAACCTCTGGAGGAATTCAAGAATATATTCGCGGATGTGACCTTCATCGAGCTTGGTTCTGCAGTTTCAACCAGTGACATTAGATCCTTCATTGGCAGTGAAATTCCCAAGATGGGAAATTGGGCCAGTGATGAAAATTATGCAAATTATGTCACAGAGCAAATTGTGCAGAAGAGCAATGGAATGTTGGTCCTTTCATTGTGATATAATTTATCCTGAAGCTAACATGTATATTTAGGTTTCGCATGGCTGCATGCCTCCTCATTGAATTGTGCAGTCAATTTTTTCGAGAAGATGTAGAGGAGAGCCTAGCAAGCCTCCCAGCTGATCTTTTTGGGATCTATAGCCGTTTCTTAACCCGGGCAAAAGATACTCTCAAAAAAACAGCTTTTATTGAAGCAATTTTCCGGTGGCTTGTGTTCTCTGCCAGAGAACTTACACCAGACGAGTTGGCAGATGCTATTGCATTCCCCTTATCAGACCCCATATTCAACTTTTTGGACACGGCCAAATCCATTTATGACCCAACTAGATGCAGAGGCAACATTGAAATCTTCAAACTGTTGGAAGGTCTGATCGTGATCCAAAACAAGCACATGGATGAATCAATCACCTTGGCACATTCATCTGTCAAGGATTATATCCTTTCCCCACAATTTTATCAGGAATTTGGCACAAGCATTGACCTCTCAAGCAGGGTCTCCCTAAGATTTATTACCCAAAATTGTCTTCGCTATCTTCTCAATTTTGCAGAGCCTAAACATTCAATGAACAAGGAAACAGTTCAGGACTACCCAATGGCATTTTATGCAGGGAGATATTGGTCTCATCACCTACAGCTTTGCACTGAACAGGACCAGGAGGTGCTACTTCCTTTAACAATGCATCTTCTGGAGGATGGAAGCAGCCAGCATGCTGCTTTGTACCAATTACGTCCTGGGCTTCACCCTGTTTGGGATGAACCAATATCACCAGCAGTGTGTATATGTGCTGAAATGGGTTACACCAAGGGAGTACACTCTCTTGTCATCCAACAGAATGTATCTGTCAACTCAGTCACGGAAGATGGTTCAACAGCACTCCATCTAGCATCGAGGAAGGGCCACCTTGACATTGCAAGGCTGCTCATTGAACACAATGCATCTGTCAACTTAGCCAAGAAAAATGGCTCAACTGCTCTACATCTGGCATCAAGGAATGGTCATCTCGATATTGCAAGGCTGCTCATTGAACACAATGCATCTGTTGACTTGTTCAATGCAGATGGCTGCACTGCGCTGCAGCTTGCATCCAGGAGAGGTTGCTTTGACATTACAAGGCTGCTCATTGGACACAATGCATCTGTAGACTTAGTCAACAAATATAGCTCCACTGCTTTGCACCTTGCATTGGAGAATGGTCACCTCGACATTGCAAGACTGCTCATTGAACACAATGCATCTGTTGACTTGGTTGACGAAGCTGGCTGGCCTGTGCTGCATCTTGCATCAATGAAAGGTCACCTCGAGATTGCAAGGCTGCTCATTGAACACAATGCATCTGTTGACTTGGTCGGCGAAGCTGGCTGGACTGCACTGCATCTTGCATCAATGAATGGTCACCTTGAGATTGCGGGGCTGCTCATTAAACACAATGTGTCTGTTGACTTAGTCAAGAAAGATGGCTGGACTGCTCTACATCTGGCATCGAGATTCAGTCATCTCAATATTGCAAGGCTGCTCATTGAACACAATGCATCTGTTGACTTGGTCAAGAAAGATGGCTGGACTGCTCTGCATCTGGCATCAAGGTTAAGTCACCTCGACATTGCCAGGCTGCTACTTGAAAACAATGCCGCTGTTGACTTAGTCGAAGAAGCTGGCTG